CCCCAAAACAAACCCAACCCCTCCAACCCCACCCAACCCGGTCCAAACCCTCCATACCCAAACCAATCCTAACCCTCCATACCCACCCAAACCGGTCCAAACCCTCCATACCCAAACCAATCCTAACCCTCCATACCCACCCAAACCGGTCCAAACCCTCCATACCCAACCCAAACCAATCCTAACCCTCCATACCCAACCCAAACCCTCCATACCTAAACCAATCCTAACTCTCCATACCCACCCAAACCGGGCCAAACACTCCATACCAAACCAATCCTAACCCCCCATACCCAATCCTAACCCTTCATACCCAATCCTAACCCTTCATACCCAACCCAATCATAATCCATGCACCAACATGCACAGGCTGCTATGAGGCGCTTTTTCATGATGAAGCTCGGCATGATGGGACATGTAGTCCCGAAGTCTGTGGTCATGTGACCTTTCTAGGACATCTACTGTATGCACCCACTGACCAGATGTTTGTGATGGTGAGAAGGCGTGCGCTTTCTCATAATGGGACACGTAGTCCCAAAGCCTGTGGTCATGTGACCTTTCTATGGTGTCTACTGTATGCACCCCCTGACCGGAAGTTTGGGATTGTGAGAAGGCGTGCAGGTTTTCAAGTTGACGCTCGGTATAGTCCCCGAAGCCTGTGGTCATGTGACCTCTCTATGCCGTCTACTGCATGCACCCCCGGACAAGAAGCTTGGGATAGTGAGAAGGAGCAAGCGGCTTCTCTAACCCGAAAAAGTTTGAGGACGTATTTGTGGGGAAAAGCTCAATGGGCAGAGTGACGCGGTGGAGATTGATCTTGCATATTTTATGTTTTCATAGTGATAAATGCCACTTGTTGCCAAACCCCTCCCCCGAATGTCCGGAAAATATAGACCGCTGGTTTCCCATCACATCTCTGACCCACCAAACCATCTCCAATCTCGCCCCCTCTTTCCGGACATTCGACACTTTATGATCTCTGTAACAATATAACGCACTTTGTTGTTTTTGTTTCTTATCTGCGTTTTGTGAACCTTTGAACTGTGCGCGTCGCCGGTTCCTCTGTGTGCGTCGCCTGCTCGTGCTGCATCCTGGTCACGTCACCTCGCCGTTTTCTTATCGGCCCCGGGCGTCAGCCTGCGGTCTGTCAGGTTGTATCGTTTATTGCAGATCTCTGGATTGTACAAAAAAAAAAAACACGTAATAAATACAAAATCTTGATGATAATATAGTGAAAATGTCCTTTCCACCTGAATACTCCTCTAAGTGTCTTTTTGTTGCGTATCTGCCCCATATTACTACTTCATAGCTGGAATACAAATAGGTGTGATATGATGGAGTATCTACTATATGAACACAGCTGTGTCACTCAATAAAATATTCACCTGTCAGCCTGCGTCTGCCTGTCATTGTCCTGCGTGAGGGGTTCATTCACCTGCGTCTGCCACTGAGGATGGAAGACTCTAGAGTTGTTTTTTTGTGGTATATTAGTATGTTCCTCCCAAACTACACTCCAAAGGGCTGGTTCATAACTCTTCCGGCCCATGTATGGCTGGACCAATGCCATTGGCACGACACAACTGCCACTAGATGGTGCTGAGGAGCGCAGGAAGTTCCTATGTTCCTCAGTGCCATCTAGTGGCGGTGGTGTTTTATAAATCAGCCCCCATGTGTGGGCACCTGACCATTACACCCATATGGGCAGCTCCAGTGATTAAGCCCTTTGGGTGAAGGTGGCTGGAGGGAGTTTGAGTATGACGAGGGAGAGAATGTCTGTCTGACCTACCTAGTGTCAATAAAGTTTTATTTAAAAAATATAGCGGTGGGGCTTGTGTGTTCGTACACCTCTATGGGCCTGTTGGATATCCCAGTTTAAAACCATAGCCATTCATATGGAGTTGCACCTTCCCCAGGGCCATTCATATGGAGTTGCACCTTCCCCAGGGCCATTCATATGGAGTTGCACCTTCCCCAGGGCCATTCATATGGAGTAGCACCTTCCCCAGGGCCATTCTGGAGTTGCACCTCCCCCAGGGCCATTCTTATGGAGTTGCATCATATGGAGTTGCACCTTCCCCAGGGCCATTCATATGGAGTTGCACCTTCCCCAGGGCCATTCATATGGAGTTGCACCTTCCCCAGGGCCATTCATATGGAGTTGCACCTTCCCCAGGGCCATTCATATGGAGTTGCACCTTCCCCAGGGCCATTCATATGGAGTTGCACCTTCCCCAGGGCTATTCATATGGAGTTGCACCTTCCCCAGGGCCATTCATATGGAGTAGCACCTTCCCCAGGGCCATTCATATGGAGTAGCACCTTCCCCAGGGCCATTCTGGAGTTGCACCTCCCCCAGGGCCATTCATATGGAGTTGCACCTTCCACAGGGCCATTCTGGAGTTGCACCTCCCCCAGGGCCATTCTGGAGTTGCACTTCCCCCAGGGCCATTCTAGAGTTGTACATCCCCCAGGGCCATTCTGGAGTTGCACCTCCCCCAGGGCCATTCTGGAGTTGCACCTCCCCCAGGGCCATTCTGGAGTTGCACCTCCCCCAGGGCCATTCTGGAGTTGCACCTTCCCCATGGCCATTCTGGAGTTGCCCCTTCCCCAGGGCCATTCAGAAAATGCCTCCTTTCTGGTGATGGCATCCTTAACTCTTCTAGGAAAGCTGAATTTGTGTCTACAGGAATTTGTCCCATTGGTGAGGTCAAGTAGTGATGGATGAGAAGACCTGGCACACAATCAAGGTTCTAGTTGATTCCAAAGGTGTTCAGCAGTAAAAATTGAGGTCAGGGCTCTGTGCAGGACACTTGAGTCCCTCCACCAAACTGGTCACACCATATCTTTATGGAGCTGGCTTTGTACACAGGGGACAGTCATGGTCGAACAGAAAAGGGTCTTCACCAAACTGTGACCACAAGGCTGGAAGAGCCCAGTTGTCTACAATGTCTTTGTATGAGGGAGAATTACCAGAACCTTCACTGGAGACACCTAAACTCCATCATTTGGAGGGGAGGGGGTCCAGACTTTTGATCATACACTAGTTATGATGGTCAGCTGTCCATAAACTAGGCCGGCCCTAGAGTCTATTTTACTTTACATAGGTTGAAAAAAAACGACACGAGTCCATCGAGTAAATCATTCATTTCCTGTAAAAGCTAATTCCAAAAACTCTAAAACATAGTTCTAACGCTTTCCCATTCGTTGGAGTGTACACGTCCTTATTTTTTTTTGTTTTTGTACTACGTGGTCTCCAAACAAGTGAACCTTCTAGGTAGAAATAGTTCAGGTGCAGAATGATGGGAAAGCCGCATTGGTGAGTGAAGAGTTTGCCGGCTGCTGAAAGATTCCTGGAAACCAGAAATGATCAATGTGGAAACACCTGTTGTACCTGTGGACAGAACAACCTGGTGACGTGTTCATAGCGTTGGACTTCCTGGCGGAGATGGAAAGATCCAGAGAAGATCAGATTTCAGCATGTTGGGTTGTCCATGAGGAACGGCCCCTGTTCAGGATACAACATCCGAAATTCTCACACTGGGGTAATGAACCTGATTTGGCCTTGTGGCCCTGGACTGATAACACTCAATCTGATCTATGGTTGATGGTTACATGTATAACTAGTAGTGATTGGCCGAACACCCCCCACCCCCCTAATGGGAAAAGTTTGAATTCAATGAAAGTCTATGGGAGTGGAACTTTGAAATTCAAATGTCCCCATTTTGAAAGCTTATATGCAAGTGTATGGCCATGAAAAGGTGTATGGGGGTCCGGGGACTGCCCTGGGGGACAGGAATCAATGACAAACACTTTTAAAAATACAGTTATTAAAGGAGCAGGGATTTTAACATTGCTTAACCAGTTGACATCCGCGGTGTTAAACCCCCTTCCCATCCAGGCCATTTTTCAGTATTCAGCGTAGCACATATAGGCGATCGGCGGGCTTTGGACCCGCTGATCGCCTATATGTGAAACACCCGGTAACGGGTATGTGCACTGATCGGGTCTTTTCTGCCCGTGCGTGCCCGCTAGGGGGCGCGCGCGAGCAGAAAAAAATTGCCGTCTGGGGACGGCAACCCGCAGATAATGCAGTGCCGTCCGTCCGTTTTTCTACTACGGGCGGACGGCAAGAGGTTAAAGGGTAACAATAAAAATGAAAAATTCCTTTAAATACCGTGACTGGGGGGTCCCCTTAACCTGCCTGTAAAGTGACGGATCTGTACGATGTATAGAACCTGCTGCAGCAAAAATGATTTATTTATTTATTATTCTTAAAGTGTGCAGTTCCCCCTCCCAAGCAACACCTGACCCTTTACGTCTGGTAGGAATGTTAGAAGGGACCTCATTTAAAAAAAAAAAAAGCGTGGAGTTCCCTCCAAAAGTCATACCAGACCCTTAAGGTCTGGTAGGAGTTTTAAGGCGGAAACCCCACCCCCAAAAATGGGAGAAGAAAACGTGGGGTCCCCCCTAAAATTCCATACCAGATCTTTGATCCGAGCATAGGCCTGGCAGGGCCAGAAAGGGGGGGATGAGAAAGCCCTCTCCCCCCCTCCTATACCAGGCCACATGCCCTTGGCACTGGGAGGGTGCTTTTCCAGGGTTGCCCCTGGAAAAGCACCTTGTCCCTGTGCCGACGGGGACAAGGGCCTCTTCCCCATAAGCCCTGGAGCGTTGGTTGTGGGGGTGCAGGCGGGGGGCTTATTCACAGCAGAGTACCCCTTTAATAAAGGAGCACCCAGATGTCACCCCCCTTGTGAATGAGTAAGGGGTACTTGTACTCCTACCCATTCACTGAAGGGTTAAATAAAATTGTAAATAAAAAGTCCAGACTTTTGATAAAATCCTTTTTTTTAAAACAAAAGACATGTTGTCGAGAAGTCTTCCGTTAAACCCCCCCAAAATGGATCGACTGACGTAATCCTAGGGTCAATCATGACGTCCAGCGTTGTCCACGGCGACGACGGCTGGACGAAATAAAAAAATAGAATTTTTTTTTTTAAACGCCGTCCCGGCCGCTTACGACGGACACCCGCCGCATAATGGCATCCTGATAGATATTGGTAACATATAAACGGGCGGAGCTAGCGGCGACAGCTACCTCCCCCCAACTGTAGTTTTACATCATCTGATAGGTGAACCCTGATTGGGCAAAGTCTTGCACGTGACCTGTGTTTAGGCGCAAGCCTTTAGCCAATTAGGGCTTCACAGGGCGCATTGCCTCGTGGGATGTTGAGCGGTTGGACAGACCGCCGAACGCCCTTATAGTTGGTGCATTCAGCAAACACGCGAACTAGCGACGTTCGAGTCAAACTCTAAACCTCGGGAGACGCTGTTGAAGTCAACTCTTGTTTTCCAACATTGACCACTTCCACGTGTCCCTCCCCGGCGTCATATACTCGACTTTACTTCCTCTTCCACGCCGAGAGAACGCTGTCTTGTGTAAGCTCTCGTCCAGTCTGACCTCTCTCCTGCCATGTGACTGAGCTTGGCCAATCCCCCTTTATATCACATGGGGGGGGGGGGTCACATGCTCCCACATAACCAGAAGTACCGGGCATTTTGTGGAGACCAACTCCAGGATCTTTTTGGTTGATGGCACCTCAACAGCTGAGGAAACAAGCATTAGGGTGAGGTCCAGTTCAGACCTGAGCCAATCAGTCCAGACCCAATCAGCTGTGCCCGGGGATTTCCCCGACCGCACCTGCATGTAAGCAAAGGGGGTGGGATGTTGTGATGTCATTGACCTTATATGGCTGCATGACTATATTTGGTCAATGACCTGATGCGACCATATAATGTCATTGAGGTCAGCACAAGTATCCTGCCCCTGTATGTGCAGCTGCAGGACAGGGAATGTAGGAGCCGATACGAAACCTGAGCTCCTCTGAACCCAGAAGGGACACGGGGGCCACCACCAATCAGCTGTGGGCTGGGACATTCCCTGTCCTGCAGCTCCACATAAAGGGGCGGGGTGCTTGTGCTGACCTCAGTGACATTATATGGTCACATTAGGTCGCGGTCATTGACCAAATATAGTCATGCAGCCATATAAGGTCAATGACATCACAGCATTCCACTCCCTAATAACCATGGCTGCCAGCAATACAAACTTCCTCTCCCCCCAGGTGACTGAGGACATACAGTGAGTGCAGAGTGCCATAGAACTCCCCGCCCCCGGGGGGTCTCATCAGTGCCCCAGACTCACATAGAGCTGTGCTGACATCATAACTAAGGGCCGCTTACCACTGAGAGACACAGGAGGGATCCTAAGACAAATGCCTAGTTGCTATGGGTAACAGCTCCAGGTCGTCAGTCCGTCAGCTTCTCTGGTCCATGTACCAGCAGAGGTCAGTAGAAGACACCTTATGAGCAGCGTTGGCTTCCATGTGACGGGAACACGCAGCTGTCCTCCCTCCACCCAGAAACGTCTTATCTGAGCTCTACGTCAGTGCCGAATATTATTACAACATCCACCTACCATCCCCCACCCCACCTTGCTTCCCGGGCTCTGCCGCCCCTCCTGTGGGCCCCGTTTTGGCATCACGGGTGTCGGTGGGTAGAGGGGAGAGAAGTGTTGGAGAAGTCGGGGGAAGAAGCTGTTCAAGTGCGATCTGCGCTCCAATAAAAGGTGACGCCAGAGGTCTAATAAACCCCCAATGTCACCTTAAGGAGAACCTGTCACAGTTAATATGCTATCACATAGGTTGCTTGTGCAACCCCCACCACCCCAACCATGTGACAACAAATGAAATAAAGTAAAACAACAACAAAAAAGTTTAAAGAAAGTAAAATAAAATACATTTTAAAGTCCCCGCCCCCGAGAAAGTGCGCAGAGTAACGTAAGCACGCGTCGGGTGCGCCTCGGTATGAAAACTTTGATTCTGCTACGCATGTCGGGTATCGCCGCGTGCGGCAGAGTGAGATCAATAATCCTGGGGCCAATATTTATCGATTTATCGATAACTCTGAAGCTCTACAGGCTTTTAAAGCATTGCCTATGAACAATTCGGGGTACTGATTTGTTGCCGTTTCACAGAAATTTGGGGTTTATAAAAGAGTTGCGCTAATATCAAGTGATGTAAAAATTTGCAACTGCCGCCATTTTATTCTGCAGGGTCTCAGCTCTCATGGAAGATGTTACATTGTCACTGATGGAGATCGTTTGTTGTTTCTGTAAATTGTAAATATTTTGTTACAAAGTCTCATCACTTCCTGTCTGTCATCTCCCCTCCCCCAATATCATATATATTATGTATATATACTGACCTCTCACCCCTCCTATAATATATACTGACCCCTCCCCCTCCTATAATATATAATATGATCACTGTAACATTGTAACAAATTGTTTGATGTTGATCCTCCGGTTTCCTTGGTCTCTGCACGGGCTCCTGGGGTGGGGAGAGGGGCTCCTGAGGGACACATACAGGATCTCTCCTCCGGGTTCCTGAGCAGGTAGATGAGTAGCCAATGAGGTGCGAGCTGAGAAGAGGTGGGCGGGGCCAGGCACGGAGTTCTCTCTCTCACGGCGCGGTGACATCGCTCACCTGTAATGGGGTCGGGCAGTTAGCGGGGACAGAGGTCACATGATCAGTCCCTGCCATGGCCCGGGAGGTGCCCGAGGTCCCGGATGACGCCCTGTTCCGGGGGTTCCAGTCCCAGTGTGAGGACAATGACGGTTGGACGATCTGCTACAACAAGCCGGGGATCGGGGTGTGGATGAAGCCGCCGGAGGAGAGGACCAGCCCGGTACAGACGGTGAAGGTGGGTGCGGGGAGAGGGGAGGGGATATCTATCGGACAGGGTACATCGGCCTATCAGAGGAGATCAGTGATTGCGCCCGAACTGACCTTTACACCGAACTCCACCGATCCTAATCCAGGGAACCGACCACCCGCCGACCTCCTTCAATGACAGGGACTCTCTACACACGGTGAGATTGTACGAACATTCGATCCGTGAGGACAGCAGGCGGCCGACTGATTGAGAGACACGACTCCGGCCGTGCTGTGTATTTCCAGTGCCGGAGCTCAGTCTTCACTGCCCCAGTGTGATCTATTGCAGATC